TCCAGTGTTTCTCAACTTTTTTTCAATATTGTCTTCCTGCCCCAGGAGCCTTTTTAGACATTTTTTTCCTAACCACATCCCCCATGAAATGTTACTAGCACAGAGATATATCTGTACTTTATACATAAAAGAGCAAGTATAAAGTTTATTCTTCTTATATAATAATGGGTTCAGAATGGCAATAAAAATGTTGTCATGTTTTAAAATTTAAAGCTATTAACATTAAACTTTGTATTTGCTGAGTAACTTTTAATGTAATTTTAATGTAAAAATGTGATGTATCAAATTATACATAAAAATTGCCAATTTCTACATAATAATAGCAATGTAACCAAATTTTTCACTTTCAAAACTGCTATTTTTCCAGAAAAGGTAAAACAATTGAAAAAATCTTCTTAAAAGTTATTTTTCATGAACTTAACTCTTGTTTTATATGAGAAAATAATTTTTACCTCATCCAGCTGCTACATATTCATTCAGATATCATCAATAGTTTCTCTTTTCAATACTTGGCATAGTTATTAGTGGGTTGAATAATTCTAATAGGATTAAAGAATAAAATATAAAGTACTTTTATTTAATTTTCAAATCCCAAGTCACACACAAAGCAGTGTGGGTCAAACATAAGCACTTAACATCCACAAGGCAGCCAATGGCAGCCCTAATGGATAAGGAAGTCACCAACAGAGATATGGCTTCAGGATCAAGCTACTGATGGACAGAAAGTTCTCCAGTCATAGCCATCTATTTGCCATAGGTTTGTAGTAATGACCCTGCATACATTCTGTATATCTTCCATGAACTCAATGTCAATGTTGCTTGTGTAATACCCAAGAAAAACCAATGAGAGAAATTTAAATGTTAAGAAGTAAGATTTTGCCCACCAAGCTTTGAAGGGCCACAAACCACTGGAACAACTGAGAAGTTTCTGCCTTCCTCCAGAACCAATTTTTGCCGCCCCTGAGGCTGAAAGCCCTAACCTCTGTGTTCCCACGTTTATCCTCCTAGCACCTAGAGAAAAAAACAAAAAAAACAAAAAACTCCAGTTTACCTAAGAAAACACCCCATCCCACAACTATAATAAGGGCCCCTCTACTACCATCATCTCCTTGGGTACTATGAAAGAAAAGGGATTCCCATACTATTAGCCTTTCTCCCAAACAAAGGAGCCCCCCCACCTCTAAAAGTATAGACTTTTGGAGCTGGAAGAACACTCAGGGCTCATAGAGCCCCTCCATCTTCAGATGAGGAAACTTAAAAGAGCCCTAAGAGGTAGAGCGACTGGCTCAATTAAGGTCACTATATTGTTATAGACAGAGACCTTGCCAGCCTGGGTCACTCTTGTATCTCCAGTCGAGGACCAGGCTTGGCACATAACACAGTCAGATGTTTGCACACTTAATGAATGAATGGCTATTGGGCAAATTAGTGACAGAGCTGAGAGCCCAGTTCACCTAATTCCTAACCTACCACTTTTCCAACTACACCAATTTGTCGCTTTTTACTTTTCTAGAATATCAAAGAGTAGCCTCAAAGACTATCAAATTTATATTGTTTGAAAAGCTTCCCAGCGCTTTTAGTTTCACACATCCAGGAAGTTGAAGAGCAGGGTCTTGTGCGCTTGTGATAAGTGCTTCAGCCCACTGAAAGTGAGGGATTTTCCACAAATAAGTCAAGGGTACCCGGTTGACAATGCATCACTTTTTACTTGCTTACCCTGCCTTGATCTCTTTTCTAGAGCTCTTGTTCACGTGCCATATCTCCTTACCCACACTGAGAGCCAAAACTGCCTTCCGTTTCTAAGACACCTACTAAGTTTTTAAGCACGAAGCAAATGTTCAACAAATGTTTGCAAAATTTATTCCAATGGAAATGGTGCACCATGAGGGACAAAAGTGGATTTGGCATGAACAAAAAAATTCTGTTTGGACTTTGCTCATTTCCTAGGACCAGTAGAGTACCTAACATGTAATGGGAGCCTAACAGTTACTGAATTTTAAAAAACAAATGAAAGATATGGCAAAAACTGAGACGTTATTAAGCATCGTCTTCACTCATTCAATAAATTCATTGAATTTATTCATTCAATATGTATTACCAAGTAATGTGCCAGGCTCTCTGCTGCTCTAAGACCTAATTTCCCCCACAGAGCCAGAGCCCTCCTCCCTAGCAAACGCATGGCATTAGGTTCACCTTGCAGGCTGTGGGCACAGCTAGGGTAGCCATGTCTCAATATGCTCAAGACAGTCCCAGTTTACACCTATTGTCCAAGCATTCTCTCCCAACAATGCCCTGGTCTAGACAATTATATCACCCTAAGTGTAGCAAATCTTTTTCAACAAGAAGCCCAGGGATTCAAAAATTTCACTCCACATTTACTAGCTACTCCCAGTCCCTTTTTTTTGGCTGTGCCATGCAGCATGTGGGATCTTAGTTCCCCAACCAGGGATCGAACGCATGCCCCCTGCAGTGGAAGGGCAGAGTTCTAACCACTGGACTGCCAGGGAATTCCCTACTCCCAGTCTTGTTTCCTTATTTCTAATACAGGCATAACACATTAAACTAAATGGTTATAAATAGAAAAGTGGCTGGGGACAAGGCTGGGACATCAGATTGAGACTACACTGTAGAGAGCCTTGCATACCAAGAACACGGATACATAATTTAATATACAGCAGGGAGCGATAAAAACCTTTAAGGGAGAAAGTGAATGTATAGTCAAAGCACCATGAAAGTGTTATGATGTTGATTACAGAAAAGATCTACGACAGGAGGAATGAAAAAAGCCGGCTCCAGGTGTACCAAAAAGACAGCCTAAAGCTGTAAATAAAGAAAGGTTGTCACAGATGAAAACGGCAACAAATATGCTATTTCATCATTTGCCTTTATGTATAATTTTAAAGTTTCAACAATAGATGCAGCTATGCAAGCTAGTTCATTGATCTGTGGTCCTGATACCCTCCTTGGAAGGCACAGGTTGTAAGGAAGCTTCTGGACAGTCCAGCTTGCCCTCCTGTCGGCCAGTCGTGTAAAGGAGCTGGAGCTCGGTTTTTGTTTTATTTTAAGGACTAAATTTCAAACATAGTATTCGTTGTCAAAAGAGTTTCCCGACACTGAGATGGACAGGAAGCTTAACCCGCCAACTCCAGATCTTCCACTATTGCATCATTTGAAACTAAGCCTCCTCAGGCAGCGACTTGCAAAATTCAAGTCAGGTAAAATGGCAGCAGCAGCAGCCGCTGTGGGTGCTGCTGCTGCGGCCGCCGCCGCTGGCCTCAACTTCAAGCGCCGGAGAGCGCGTCTCTCCGGAGCTGCCAACTGCTCAAAGGAATAGTCGATAAATCAACAGGTCCTGCTCGCCCGCCCGAGGGTGCTTAGACCCGGGAGCGCCAGCCACAGAAGGAAGTGGCTAATTATTTAAAGACAGTCGAGACCACTAGAGGCCGGAGTCAGCTCTCCAAGAGCCTTCCCTCCGTCCACCACCCACACTGGGAAACTGCTGGGAAAAGGCCCGGGCCCCGTACACTGAGGGGAAAGCACCAATCCCTGGGCTGCTGCTCCAGGTCCCTAGCCCTCCAGCCCCTGGGCAGCTCTGCACTGCCCGCGGGTGCAGACACCCCGAGGGCTCCTTTTTCCTCCGGCTGTCCCCCTCCTCTCATCGATTGCAAGCCTTTCTGTTCTGCCACCGGAAACTTCCAGAGAAGGTGAGATTCCCAAGTCAAGAGACGATTCTACAAACTGTAAAGGGCCAATGTCGGGACTTCAGAGTCAGACCTCATAAAGCCTAGGCGTCCCTGGTGAGGCTCAGTACTGCTCTGTACTGCGGGTCCTGCGCTCCCGCGCGTTCGCACCCATCCACCCGCTGGCCGAACGTGGTGTCCTCCGATCCGCAAGAGCCCACGCTGCCGGCCCCCGCAACTTCAGCAGCGCCTCCGCTCCGAGAGCCGCAGAGACCCTCCTCGCTCCAGCGAGGACAGACCTCCCAAGGCCTGGGGTCCCCAGCCGCAACTCCTGTCCCTTCCTCCGGGCGGGAGGCTGCAGGTCCCAGACAGGGAACCAAGAGGGCGGGACCTTGGCCGTCCCTGCCGGACTCGCTCAACGCTGCCGAGCTCGCTCATTACTCCCGGGCTCCAGGGGCAGTGCCCACCCTCCCCACCAGCCAGTACCTCGTCCGCTTCCAACTCTGCTCCGTTGCCTACGAGCGCCATGTTCCTCCTCCGGCTCCGCCGCCCAGAAACCAAACAGGGAGCTCAGAGCCAACTCAGTTTCTCGGCTCCGGGCTCAGCCCAGCGCGCCAGCAAAGGAGGAAGAGGACGGCTCCGCGCTCCCGCCGGGTCCCGGGCGGGGCCAGCGCGCAGCTGGGCGTGTGCTTTCCCCGCCCCCGGCGCCCGCACACCAGACGAGCATCCATTTCCCGAGCCGACGCCGGGTGGCGGGCCTCTACACAAGCTCCGCCCCCTGCAGGCCTCTCCCCGCCCTCTACGCGGCTCTGACTAGAGCAGCCAATCAGATTCCCCAACGCTTTTCCGCCTCCAGACGGCATCCACTTAGGATCCACATGGGCGGGGTCATTTCGTGGGCGGTGTCACCTTGTGGGCGGAGTCACTGGCGAACTTCGCTGGTCTGGCCCACTCTCTGGAAAGGCACCCTAGAGTACCAGCTTCCAGTACTCTGTGGGGAGGCCTGGAGCCAAGAGAGCGCTGGGTTAACGAGGCCAACCAAAGTCAAAGCCACCTAACCCTGATGCCCCTTTGAACCGTCCACCTGGTCTCTGGGCCAGTGCCAGTCCCCTTCCCTCGCCAGGTGCGCACTGCATCTCGCAGATGGTGAGTCCAGAGAGCAGCCTTGAGTCAAGGTCACAAGTCACCCAAAGGTCTCTGTCATTCCACCTGTCCAGACACTAAGTCAGGGACATCATCTTCAGATACAGGAATGCTGTGTTTGCTTCTGTGTATGTTTGAAAAATAACAGAAAAACCACAGGACATACATTTATACAACTTAGAGCTCCTCTACCCCTCCTCCCAATATCCTGTCACGATGACCCATTTTGTAACCCCAAACATATGTGCATAATTCGTGCTTGAACTATAAGATCCATGAGGGTGCAGATGCTGTTTGTCTTCTTCAAAACTGTATCCCCAGCACTTAGAACAGTGCCTTACACATAGTAGATGCTCAAGAAATATTTGTTGGCTTCGTTTAGAAATTGATTCCTGCGTATAACATGTAAGGTAATTGAACTATCCAACTGAAAAATTATAAGGGTATTTGGTGGGGGGGGGGGGGTTGGTCAGCTTAATTTTACATACGATAAAATTCACCAAGTTTAAGTTTGTAATTTGATAACAGATGTTTACAAAACACCATTCCAATCATGAAAACACACCCAAAAAGTTCCCTGTGCCTCTTTGCTGTCAATTTCCTTCTCCCACTCCCTAGCCTCTGGCAACCACTGATCTGCCTGTTCTGCTTTCTGTCACTCTCATTTTTTTTTTTTTTTTGCGGTACACGGGCCTCTCACTGTTGTGGCCTCTCCCGTTGCAGAGCACAGGCTCCAGACACGCAGGCCCAGCAGCCATGGCTCACAGGCCCAGCCGCTCCGCGGCATGTGGGATCTTCCCGGACCAGGGCACGAACCCATGTCCCCTGCATCGGCAGGCGGACTCTCAACGACTGCGCCACCAGGGAAGCCCTGTCACTCTCATTTTGCCTTTTCTAGAATTTCATATAAATTCTATCACAGAGCACATGATCTTTTGTGTCTGGCTCATGAAGGGCTATTCAGTGGTCATCCAGTGACAATTATAAAAATTGCTAACATTTATTGAGTACTTATTATGTGCCAGGATTATGCTGAGCCCCTTGCATAAATTATCTCCTTTACGCGTCATAACCCCATGAAGTAGGTGCTGTTAACTTACAGATGAGTGAAATGAGGGTCAGAGAGTTTAAGTAACTTGTTTGAGGTCAGACAGCTATTAAGGAAGTAGGGATGCCAGAATCTGAACTTCAGCAATCTGACCTTAAGGCGTGGTGGTAACCATTGTTCTGCACTGCCTCCAGCCACCACCTTCCTTTTCTTTCTCCCTATTTGTTTCAGTGGATCAGCTGCCTGGACATGTCTATTACACATACTTTCAGTGAGTCACCTTAGCATCCTTGAAACTTGCTCTACAATTTTAATGTGTCACTATGCACCTTTATACTAGTAAAATAAAATGGCTTCTACCCCACAAACAACATGGAAAAAAATGGATTAGATTACGGTGATGAGTGCACAACTCTATGATTTACTACAAATCCTTGAAGTGTATAATTATAATAGGTGAGTTTTATGGTCATGTACATTATATTTCAATAATGCCACTTTAAAAAACAGGTTAACACATTCTTTCAGCACTCTTAGAATCAGATATGTGGAGCTAGAAAGGACCTAGGGGTCATTTAATTCCAATACACCTGAAAGTTTCCACTCCTCCCCTAACCTCCTGTTTATGCTTAGCTTTCTGAGGCTGGATTTCCTGTCTGGGTCCAGATTCTACTCTGTATTGCTCATGCATGATTCCGTTTTTTAAAGTTCTAAAATTTAGTTGGCTCCTAAATTAATATCACATTATTTGACATTAAACCATCCTGTGGTGGCTTCTTCCTCTCTTGTATGCTTTATTATTGTCTTTCAAATTTCAACTCCTCAAATTTTGAAGAGGTACAAAAGAACTTGGCACTAATTAGTGGCATGATTATGTTATAGTGAGAATCAAGTTTAATTTTTCAGAAATCCTTCTCTTTTTTTTTTTGCGGTATGCAGGCCTCTCACTGCTGTGGCCTCTCCCGTCTCTCCCGTTGCGGAGCACAGGCTCCGGACGCACAGGCCCAGCGGCCATGGATCACGGGCCTAGTCGCTCCAGGGCATGTGGGATCTTCCCAGACCGGGGCACGAACCTGTGTCCCCTGCATCGGCAGGTGGACTCTCAACCACTGTGCCACCAGGGAAGCCCCCAGAAATCATTCTTATAGATAAAAGTTAGTAATTTATTTTAAATGAGAGATCAAATCTGAAGCCCCGTATACTTTAATAACGATTAACTTTATTTATTTTGGGCTGCATTGGGTCTTCGTTGCTGCACACAGTCTTTCTCTAGTTGAGGTGAGCAGGGGCTACTCTCCGTTGCGGTGCACAGGCTTCTCATTGCGGTGGCTTCTCTTGCTGTGGAGCACAGGCTCTAGGCACGCGGGCTTCAGTAGTTGTGGTGCACGGGCTCAGTAGTTGTGGCTCACAGGCTTAGTTGCTCCATGGCATGTGGGATCTTCCCAGACCAGGGCTCGAACCCTAGTGCCCTGCATTCGCAGGCGGGTTCTTAACCACTGCGCCACGAGGGAAGTCCTGCCCTGTGTACTTTTTTTTTTTTAACATCTTTATTGGAGTATAATTGCTTTACAATAGTGTATTAGTTTCTGCTTTAAAACAAAGTGAATCAGCTATACATATACATATATCCCCATATCTCCTCTCTCTTGCATCTCCTTCCCACCCTCCCTATCCCACCCTTCTAGGTGGTCACAAAGCACCGAGCTGATCTCCCTGTGCTATGCGGCTGCTTCCCACTAGCTATCTATTTTACATTTGGTAGTGTATATATGTCCATGCCATTCTCTCACTTCGTCCCAGCTTACCCTTCCCCCTCCCCGGGTCCTCAAGTCCATTTTCTATGTCTGCGTCTTTATTCCTGTCCTACCCCTAGGTTCTTCAGAACCATTTATTTTAGATTCCATATATATGTGTTAGCATACGGTATTTATTTTTCTCTTTCTCACTTACTTTACTCTATATGACAGACTCTAGTTCCATCCACCTCACTACAAATAACTCAGTTTCATTTCTTTTTATGGCTGAGTAATATTCCATGGTATATATGTACCACATCTTCTATATCCATTCGTCTGTCAATGGGCATTTAGGTTCCATGACCTGGCTATTGTAAATAGAGCTGCAATGAACATTGTGGTACATGACTCTTTTTGAATTATGATTTTCTCTGGGTATATGCCCAGTAGTGGGATTGCTGGGTCGTATGGTAGTTCTATTTTTAGTTTTTTAAGGAACCTCCATACTGTTCTTCACAGTGGCCATATCAATTCACATTCCCACCAACAGTGCAAGAGGGTTCCCTTTTCTCCACACCCTCTCTAGCATTTATTGTTTGTAGCTTTTTTGATGATGGCCATTCTGACTGGTGTGAGGTCATACCCCATTGCAGTTTTGATTTGCATTTCTCTAATGATTAGTGATGCTGAGCATCCTTTCATGTGTTTGTTGCCAATCTCTATATCTTCTTTGGAGAAATGTCTGTTTAGGTCTTCTGCCCATTTTTGGATTGCGTTTTTTGTTTGTTTGATATTGAGCTGCATGAGCTGCTTGTAAATTTTGGAGATTAATCCTTTGCCAGTTGCTTCATCTGCAAATGTTTTCTCCCATTCTGAGGGTTGTCTTTTCGTCTTGTTTATGGTTTCCTTTGCTGTGCAAAAGCTTTTAAGGTTCATTAGGTCCCATTTGTTTATTTTTTGTTTTTATTTCCATTTCTCTAGGAGGTGCCACCCTGTATACTTTAAATTCACCCCACTAGATAAGTACCATTCCTGTTTCTGAGGGAGCCAATTATGAACACTGAATGAATAAGTGTGCTCTAGCCACTGGAACATCTAATCAAATTTGCTGTGCTCATGGCAGATGCCAACTTCCCCTTCCCGCACATGTGTGATTCTACAAGATTATGAATCACAAATATAAAACAGCTTTTTCAAATAATAATTAGAATGAATTCATTTTTGTAACAGAATTCCCCTTGCCAGTTTGCTGCTAATGATGTACTCTATCAGTCAAATGAGATTAGTCAAGTATTCCATTTCCCAAAAAAACCTAGCATAGGGGTTCAGCAAAAGCAGTGTCTGAATTTGTTTCATTTTGAAGATACATCTACTGGTAGCTGTTTAGGTTTCAGATTAAATCTAATATTGCAGACAATCTAATCTTTAGTATTCTTAAACCTGTTACCCTTAGCAGATGTAAGGGTTTTTTTGTTGATACTTGATTCAAATAAAAATTGCCTCTTTAGACAAATACCATATGCTAACACATATATACGGAATTTAAGAAAAAAAATGTCATGAAGAACCTAGGGGTAAGACAGGAATAAAGACACAGACCTACTAGAGAATGGACTTGAGGATATGGGGAGGGGGAAGGGTAAGCTGTGACAAAGCGAGAGAGAGGCATGGACATATATACACTACCAAACGTAAGGTAGATAGCTAGTGGTAAGCAGCCGCATAGCACAGGGAGATCAGCTCAGTGCTTTGTGATCGCCTGGAAGGGTGGGATAGGGAGGGTGGGAGGGAGGGAGACGCAAGA